AGAGAATTTTTAATATTTTTATTTATTTTTTAGTTCTCGGCGGACACAACATCTTTGTTGGTATGTGGTGCTGAGGATCGAACCCGGGCCGCACACATGCCAGGCGAGCGCGCTACCGCTTGAGCCACATCCCCAGCCCAATCTTATATTTCTTTAATCCATTTTACTTAGTTTTTGTGTATGGTAAAAGATAAAAGTCCAACATGATTCTTTTGCATGTAAACATCCTGTTTTCCCAGCACCATTTGTCTTTTCCCCATTGGATAGTCCTGACACTTTTGTCAACAATCATTTGACTGTAGACGTATGGGTTTATTTGGGGGCTCTCTGTTCTGTTCTTTTGACATAGATGTCTTGTCTTTATGACAGTACCATACTATTCTGTATTGTTAATATGTTTTGGTCTGAAAGTATAAGTCCTGCAGTATGCTCTGCTCTTCTCCTTCCTGGAAGCTATAACAGAAACTGAGGCCTTCTTGCCCAGCCCTGAGCTGCACTGGCTTGGAGAAGGGACATATTTGTTAAGATTAAAATAATACCAACTTCATAGGTTGTTATGAGAATTGGGAAAGATTCCATCCATGAATGACAAGGACACATTCTAGAAAATGCATCATTAGACTATTTCCTCATGGTACAAACATTATGGAGCCTACTTACACAAACCCAGAGATGTGACTTACTACACACGTAGGCTTTATGAGTAACCTATGTGTATCCCAGGCTACAGACTTGTACAGTATGTTACCGTACTTCATATTGTAGGCAGTCATAATGCAATGGTAAATATTTGTGTACCTAATCATAGAAAAGATATGGTAAAATACTAGATGACCAGAACTTTTCAGCTCTGCTATAATCTTAAGGAACCATCATTTTATGTGTACTCTACCATCGATCAAAACATCCTTATGCAGTGCATGACTCTAAAAATATTTAAAACAGTGCTTAGAATATAGTAAGTTCTCAATTGTTATTTATTATTATTTAGAAAAGAGCAATTGTGATGAAATTGCTTTTTCTTTTTTTCTTTTTGCCGTATTGGGGATGGAATCCAGGACTTCATTCATTCTAGGCAAGCATTCTACCACTGAGCCATATCCCCAGCCTTTTTTATTTTATACAAGCTGGTCTTGAACTTTCAGTCCTGCTTCAGCCTCCTGAGTAGTTATGCTTACAGATTTGTTCCACCATGGCCAGCAATGAAATTGCTCTTCTTTAAAAAAGAAAAAAAAAAAATATATATATATATATATATATATATATTAGATAACATATATTTAGAGAGAGAGAGAGAGAGAGAGAGAGATGTTAATGGACCTTTATTTATTTGTATTCCATGCTGAGAATGGAACCCAGTGCCTCATGCATGCTAGGCAATAACTCTACCACTGAGCTAAAACCCCAGCCCGAAATTGCTCTTTTTATATACATACTTAGTCATAGTTGGACAGAATAGCTTTATTATTTATTCATTTTTATATAGTGTGGAGGATCGAAACCAGTGCCTCACATGTGCTAGGCAAGCACTCTACCACTGAGTCACAACCCCAGCCCCCCAAATTGTTACTTTTTTTTTTTTTATGGTGCTGGGCCTTCTGCATGCGAGGCAAGCATTCTACCAACTGAGCTATATCCCCAGCCCCCAAAATTGCTCTTTTTAAGATGGTAGCTGTAACGGGGCTGGGGTTATGACTCAGCAGTAGAGCACTCGCCTTGCAATTGCAAGACTCTGGGTTTCATCCTCAGCACCACATAAAAATAAAGAAAGTTTTTAAAAAATGGTAGCTTTTTGATACTTTGTTATAAAAAAAAAAGACAAAATAACCTTTCTACCTCATTTACAGAGTTGAAACTGTGGGACAGCCAGACAGAAGAGATAGTATAGGAGTATGTGCAGAGAAGCAGAATGGATATGACTCTCTGCAGCGCGATCAAGCTGTATGCATTAGTACCAATGGTAAGAGATAAATGTCAATTTTCTTCAAACATGTTAATTACTGTAGTGAAATATGAGTTTGTCCCAATATCATACATAAAAAGATGTCAAGATTTAGGGGGTTTTTTTGTTTCTGTTTTTTGGCAGTGCTGGGGATTGAACTTAGGATCTACACCATTGAGCTATAGCCCAGGATTCCTTTTTTTATTCCTCTATACTGGGAATTGAACCCAGGAGCAGTCTACTGCTAGACTACTTTCTTAGTCCTTTTTATTTCTGAGACAAGCTTTTGCAGAGTTGCAAAGGCTAGCCTTGAATTTGAGGTTTTCCTTCCTCAGCCTCTAGGTACCTGGGATTAGAAGTTTGCACCATTGTGCCTGGCAAGGTTATTTTCCATATGTAGTCTCTGGTGCTCTTTGGTCCCTTACTCCACAGTATCACACTTCTCAAAGTCACTATTAAAACAGTTCAATATTTTGCAGCAGCATAATATCAAGCACTAAATGTTCAAGATTCCTATTTATTCCATATTAAACAATCTTGCTATTTTATAAATTGTAATTTTTTTTTTTTTTTAAGTACTGGAGATTGAACTCAGGGACACTCCACCACTGAGCCACATTCCTAGCCCTATTTTGTATTTTATTAGAGACAAGATCTCACTGAGTTGCTTAGTGCCTCACCATTGCTTGCCATACTGGCTTTGAATTTATAATCCTCCCATCTCAGCCTCCTGAGCCACTGGAATTACCACCACGCTGGACACAGGTTGTAATTTTTTAGTAGTTTCTTTTGATGCGTTCACCTGGGAGATTTATATTCTATTGAAAAAGACTTGAATCTGTACTAGAATTCTAACATGAGCCAGACATGGTGATACATACCTATAATCCCAGCTACTTGAGAAAATGAGGCAGGAGGATCACAAATACAAGCCCAGCCTGGGAGATTTAGCAAGACCCTCTGTAAAAATAAAGTAGAAAAACAAAAAGAGCTGGGTAGATCAATTGTGAGGCCTTGCCTGTCAATTGTGAGGCCTTGAGTTCAATCTCTAAGATTGCAAAAAATAAAAAGTGGGGGGGAGGGAATAAAACGTTAGTAAGGCTTTAATTTTTTCTTCTTCTGTAGATGGTATTGATTAGCATATTTAAATTCATTAGTGATGTCGATTTGGCATTCTGAAATGTACTTTTTTTCTGAATTAGGAAATTAGCTATGTTATCAGTTACATGGAGGCTCTTTTAATTATCTAACAGTCATTGCTCACAGGTAAATGACATCTTTAACATTTCTAGGTGCAGTTTTTGTAAATGGAAAAGAAATGACTAATCAATTGCCTGCAGTTACCTCTGGATCCACTGTCACATTTGACATCGAAGCTGTGACTTTAGGAACTACCAATAATAATGAAGGCGGGAACTTCAAGCTCCGAGTAACTATTAGCTCAAATAACAGAGAAGTGGTTTTTGATTGGTTACTTGATCAGTCTTGTGCTTCTCTTTACTTTGGATGCTCATTTTTTTATCCTGGATGGAAAGTATTAGTGTTTTAGAGTTTTGGATGCTTGGCATTGATTTACTGTATTTGCCTCATCCCAGTTTAGTTAACTTTTGTTGTTGTTGTTTAAAGTTAAATTAATCTTTCAGGCCATTGGAAATGAAAAGTGTCTACTGACAACATTTTTAACAATAGGAGAGTTGAATGGTGTGGACAAAACCATAATTCAGTCAATTTTGGTTTTAGCACATTATTAATAAAAATAGAAAATTACAATAAAATCAAATTAGCTTTAAGTGTCTGGGGAGATAACAAAAAATCCTATACCCCTTCATTGTAGATCTTAAAGTTGGTTTAATGTAACATTTTATTAAAACTCTTTCAGCATCCAAGACCATTGTAAAACTTTTTAACAACTGGAGTAGACCAGATAAGAAGCCAGAGTTCTGTAAAATTCATTCACTTGTTTTTTCCACATGAGTGCATTGACTGTGTGTTGTATGTTCAGGAATTTGAAAGCAGTGTTAGCGTTTATCCCATTTTCATTAATCTTTAAGTCTAAAAAGCTTTATGATTTTTTTTTTTTTACAATGCCTGAGTCAGTGTCTGTAATAGGCAAGTATTGTCTTTTGTTCTTGTAGTTTGATTCAAGATAGGATAGAAGATGCAGGGTGCAATGGTTCACAACTGTCATTTCAGCAAATCAAGAGGCTGAGGCAGAAGGATCACAGTTGAGGTCAGCCTCAGTAACTTAGTGAGACCCTGTTTTAAAATAAAAAGGGTTGGGGATGTGGCTCAGTTGTAGAGGGCCCTGGGTTCAATCCCTAGTATTGATAAAAATAAATAAATAAATAAATAAATAAATAAGAGAGAGGGAGAGAGATAGGATAGAGGATTTTGTACAGGGTGAAACTACTTATGGAAGTAGTAAACGCAGCAGTGTTAGTCATTTCACAAGTACATTATATGTACATGTGTGCCTTCAGGGTCAATGATATGCATATTGCTATTTGTAGTTACAAGCTCTAGTCCAGTTAATGTCAGTTTGATAAATGGTCCGTTAGTGGGCCAAAGAAATATAGGGTAAATACTTGACCGATTTTTTTAAACTTAAATTTGTAAGATATTTATTTGAGGGACTTAATATGTAAAAAAATAATAGCCATACCTTGATATAGCAGCTTACAGATTTTTTAATGTGAAAAGTAATTTTTTTTCATTTTTATCAGTAATAGAAAAATGGAAAAGCAAGCTTGATATTTTTGTAAGATAATTTATTTTGGGGCTCATGTTCCCTGTTAGACAATCGTGACCAATTTTCTCCTTGCCTTTTTATGTGTAAGTGCCTTTCACATGTTTAGTGACTGTAAAGAGGTTCCAGAATGTAGATGCCTTGCCCAGCCATCGGAAACAAAATAAAAAGCTCAAATTTAAATGTGTGTATTTTTTGTGAGATTAAATGAATCTGAAAGGGAAAGGGTTCTTGTGGCTCCAGGCATTTGAATTAGATGTTATGGTAACTTGTGGAAAGTTCTTTGTTCTTTCTTATGTTCTCTGGATCTGAACTTTCCACAAGTTACCATAACATCTAATTCAAATGCCTGGAGCCACAAGAACCCTTTCCCTTTCAGTATCAGTACTAAGTGTGTACCTGACAAAATGTGCCCTATAAATGTTGGACTGAATGTGGATAAATCATTTTCTTCATACATCTTCATCCCATTCCTTTCATTCATCAAATATTTATTAAATGCATTTGTTTCTTATCCTCTATGAGAAAAAGGCACCTTAAATATGCCTTTTCACAAAGTGACTTAAAACTAATTCTAGACAGGAGTGTAATATCTTGAACTCTGAAACTATTTTGTCTTAAACTATAAACTGAAGTTTTGTTTTCAAAGCAAACTCATTCTGTTCAAACAGAGGTACCTAACATATTTCAAAACTGTATGCTTAGAGGGAAAAGAGAATTGGGTTGTTAACAAGAATTGATATTTATTGATCTCCTCCTGTGTACTGGGCATAACGCTAGATTTTCCAAGTACATAAGTGATCTCAATCTACATTTCATACTTTTATGATAGATGGCATTCATATTAAAACTTAGGCTCAAGAGGTGTGAACTAATTGTCTTAGGTCATGGTTAACAGCAGGTCTTGTCCAGACTCTGGCCGGAGTGTGGATATGTGGGGGGTGCACTCTAAGTGGAAAGCCCCAAATTGTTCAGAAAGTGAAGTTCTCTATGAACTGTTTCTTAAAAGAGGAGTAGAAAACCGATAAGCGCAGAAATGGCCTCTGAAACAGAGGTGGAGGAGTTATAGTGGAGGAACAGGGTTTGTTAGTGCTTCCTCCAAAGTGGTGGCGGGAGTGCTATGTGAGGCTCAGAGTGCAGTGGCTGGAGACAATCTCGGAGGACAGACCAGGATCAGATTGTAGAGTCTTGGATACCAAGTTAAGAATTGGTATTTTTCAAAAACACTGATATTCAGTCTTATAGGTAAAGAGATTTATTTTCAAAACATGATTTAGAATGGAAGACACCAGGCAATAGGCTGTCATCCTTGAGACATTCAGCTACAAAATGAGACAGTGTAATTATATCAAAATGGATTCTGCTGTCGTGTAACTGAAAAGAATCAATGAATTAAAAAAAAGATACATAACCAACCAGTATTTGAGTTAGACCCAAAAGGACTTGACTACTGATGTGAGAGAATTAACCTGGATTTGAAGTCAGACTAATTGGTGACATCCATTATCACCATTCCATTTTCACCACAGAAAAATCCGATGTTTTACTTTTGTACTTTTTAAGGAAACCATTAACAAAATGCAGGGTTTTGTTTCTTTTATGAAACTAGATGATTCTGTTGTGAAGACTGATTAAGAGTAACTCATTCTGAAACAAAAGTTTCTAGAATGATTTATTTTTAGGGGGCGTAAAATCTGAATGTGTTCTATTAAAAAATGAGACCTGATATGTAGGTATCTATCTGATACAAAAAAATTTTATTTAGAGTCAAGGTCTCACTGAGTTGCTTAGGCCTTCCCTAAATTGCTGAGGCTGGCTTTGAACTTGTAATCCTCTTGCCTCAGCCTCCAGAGCAGCTGGGATTATAGGTGTGTGCCACCACATCCAGCTGATAAAGATTTTTGAAATAAGACTAGTACTGTTCTTTTTAAAAGACAAAAACTATATTTATTGCCAGGTGCCATGTCACAGGTCTGTAATTCTAGCAACTCAGAAGGCTGAGACAGGAGGATCGAGGCGCTAAGCAACTCAGTGAGACCCCGTCTCTAAATAAAACCCAAAATAGAGATGGGGATGTGGCTGTGGTTGAATGTCCCTGAGTTCAATCCCCAGTACCCTGCCCCCCCCTGCCAAAAAAAAGAAAAAGTTTATTGAGGAGGCTAGGGTTGTGGCTCAGCGGTAGAGTGCTCACCTCACATGTGTGAGGGCCTGGTTTGATCCTCAGCACCACATAAAAATAAATAAAGGCATTGTGTCCAAGTATAACTAAAAAATAAATATTAAAAAAAAGTTATATTGAAAACTCATCCAACAAAAGCTTTTTTAAAATATTTATTTTTTAGTTTTCTGTTGACACAACATCCTTGTTTGTATGTGGTGCTGAGGATCGAACCCAGGCTGCACACATGCCAGACAAGCATGCTACCACTTGAGCCATATCCCTAGCCCCCAACAAAAGCTTTTATTCCAAGTGTAACATTAATTAAAACAAAATAGACCATTCTATACCACTTCACATATAAACAAATCAATAAATAAAGGTCCATCAATAACTAATAAAAACTAAAAAAAAAAAAAAACATAGGTTATGGAAGAAGGAGCAAGCTTACATTATTTAGCATGTGATTTTTCTTCCTAGGTGGGAGTGGAGGATTGAAGTAAGCAAAACTGAGGTTTTAGAAAAGGGAACAGTGATGATCCAAAGTCAGTTATTGTGTTAGGTACCTTGAGGGAGATATTTAATCCCATTTCACATTCAATGAAACAAACTTGGCATGGTCTAGTTACTTCTTGAGTTAAGAACCTGCAAGTGCACTAAAGTTGAAGTTCGATCCCAGCCTAACAACTTCAAAGCCTGTAATTCTTCCACCATACTAGTGTCCACAACACTAGTCTGAGATTAGACACTATGAAACATGACTAAAACATAAATGTCTCCTTCTTTAGACTTCAAAATTAACAAGGACATTAACAATATATGACTTGTTTATCTTTCTATCTCCATGACTAACACACAGGCCTTACTAATTGCAGTTAAGTGGCTTATAAGGCTCTGATGGTCTAATTACCCACATGACAACTATGGATCTTCCCTACAAGTACCTCAGAAGAGAAACAGGAATAGTCAAGAGAGGATCTATTCAAAAGAAAACTGTAATTGGATTAGGAGGTGAGGTTTATTGGACCCTATTACATATTCTATGTAAGCGATTCAATTTGTTAGAATATAAAGAAAAATATTCTAGGGGCTGGGGATGTGGCTCAAGCGGTAGAGCGCTCGCCTGGCATGCGTGCGGTCTGGGTTCGATCCTCAGCACCACATACCAACAAAGATGTTGTGTCCGCCGAGAACTAAAAAATAAATATTAAAAATTCTCTCTCTCTCTCTCCCCCCACACTTTCTTAAAAAATAAATAAAAAAAAAGAAAAATATTCTAATCTAATGCCTGTATAACTTCACCTTTTTCCTGTAGTGACAAACAATAATTCTACGCAAAGGGATATATTCTTATTTAGGGAGAGGAGAAAGAAGCAAACAACTGCAGTTTTTACTATAAACCTTGGGAGAATTTTGAAGCAGGATCTCTTCAACTTCACATTCCCAGCGCTCAGAACAAGTGGAAGCACACAGATCCCCAAAAGATGAAAGGGTGCTTGCTAGTGATAGCATGCTACAAAAGCAGGTGGAAGCCATTTGTAGCATCATTCATCAACTACTTCTTGGCACTTACTTCATGAAAGTCCTGATTGTCCAGATATTTCACTTGCATCACATTAGCATCCTAGTAGTGCTTCCTACAGGAACTTTTTTTTCTTTCACAGTACTGGGAAATGAACCCAGGGGCACTTGATCCTTTTTACTTTTCAAGACAGGGTCTTGCTGAGTTGCCCAAGCTGGCCTGGTCTCCTATCTCGGCCTCCTGAGTAGCTGGGATTGCAGGCATTATGCCACCCTGGCTCTCAAATTTTTCTTATCTCTTTAGTAAATCCTCTCATACTTCAAACTGCCTGAAATCCAAAACTTCAGCATAGCAGTTCAAGTCCTTGATTCATGTCACCAAATATATAAGCACCAATTAAGACCATCAGGCAACAAAGTCAATGAGTCTTAAAAATAAAGCTAACTCCTTAAAAGAAATGTACCTATGGGCTGGGGTTGAGACTCAGAAGTAGAGTGCTCACCTAGCAAATGTGAGGCCCTGGGTTCAATACTCAGCACCACATAAAAATAAATAAAATAAAGGTATTGTGTTCAACTACAACTAAAAAATAAATATTAAAAAAGAAAAAGAGAAACATACCTAGTAAGCTTGGGATCAATCCTAAAAGGGCACTTCTCAGCACCATGTGAAGGGGAAAAAGCTATTACTGGAACATAAAGCACAGAATTGTTACTTCAACTTCAACAACTTTTCCTCTTATATAGTACAAATGTTTCTTGACTTACAGTGGGGTTACATCTCAATAAACCCTCAAGCTGAAAAAATAAATAGAAAATGCATTTAATACATCTAAACCTTCTAACCATCATACCTTATCAACAGAACACTAATGATTTTTGCTCCTTGTGACAATAACTGGGAGCTGCTTGTCAGCATTGCAAGATAGTATTATACTAGCTATTGATAATCCAAGAAAAGATCAATTTCAAAGTCAAAAGTACAATCTCTAACATAAACACTTATCAACATCACAAAATCATAAAGTTGGCCCATCATAAACCAGGAACCATGTGTAAATAATTGTAAGATATATTTTTAGGGGCTAGGGATGTGGCTTAAGCGGTAGTGCACTCGCCTGGCATGTGTGTGGCCCGGGTTCGATCCTCAGCACCACATACAAACAAAGATGTTGTGTCTGCCAAAAACTAAAAAATAAATATTAAAAATTCTCTCTCTTTAGAAAAAAAAAGATATTTTTAGTTTATCATTGTTTGTATGCCTACCCTATGAACTTTTGAAAATTGAAAAGAAAAATCCACAACTAAAGTAGGATAACTGTTTGGCTAATACTGGTATTACTCTGAACTATAAATCTAGAAATATCTATAAATCATAAATGACGTAACACTCATAAATGATGAAAGCAGGATTTCATGTTAGTTTTCCCCCCCTTAATTATTACCTCTGAGTCATCCCTGGGGGTAGAGAATTTTGCTGCTAAGCCAAAATTTTAGAGTACGC